TCTAGTCAAAATATTTCTATAGGAGGCAGGAACCTCGGGGCAAATGTCTGCAGCAAATCTGCACTGCTATCAAACTCGATTCCAATGCAACATGTTTCATCAGTTTTCTACAAAGTGGTGCAAGGAGAAAAAAATTAATCTCAAGCTAAAAGTTGCAAGACTCTGGCAAGCAAATAAGCAAAATCGAAACAGTGGCAAAGTCAAAAAACCAACATAAGGAGCAAAACTAAAGTAGGAGGGAAAAAATAACACTTTAAACAAAGTCAAATATCTATCAGTGGATAGATGGAAATCTAGATAGAAATCAGGTGAGCATAAGTGTTTCCAGTCAGACATAAAGGAAGTAAAACCCAAAACAAGATACAAGATGTAAAACAACTTTTGAAATAAAACAGGAAGCAACTAAAATTCACATCTTAAACCCAGAGACAAGAAGACACACTCAATATAACACAGGCGCAGAGGAAACACTGGGGAGAATAGAAAAACAAAATCAGAACCACAACCAAAAATCAATATAACAAAACCCTAGAATTACATTGTTTTAATTCATTAGAGAAACATTTGTTGCACATTAAGAAAGCATACCAGGGACTTCAGCCACATCACGTCAGGTACTTGGCACCCTACACTCCCTACAGGTTTGGAAATGTCATGTCACTGACCAATCTTAGTAGCCCAAATAGGTCTAGGGAGGAGGTCAGGACATGATTCACTCTTCATATTCCCCATGCTTTCATGTAGTATTTCATGTAGCCAAGTATTGTATGTCAGTACCTGTTTTCAAGACAGTTAAAAGGAAGTTGCTCCAACTCCAAAAGCATTCAGGGAATGAAACATGTGGCTTGACTTCAGATTAAAATTTCCTCTCTAATGAGCATCAAATGATGCCGTGATAAATTAACACAATGTAAAAGATTTGATAAGTACCTTTTTTTTGAGTTCAGTGCTTTGCTTCATTATCATGATATAACTTGCTATGTGTAAATATAGTAGTTTAGCAGTTTTTTTTTATCTTATTATACTGAATGCAGTATCTAATTACAGTAGATGTGTAATTGGGGTATGACTGAGTTTGTTTAGCATTTGTACATTTGATGTATTGCTTTTTTTTTTTCATAGTATTAGTTCCCCACAAAATAAACTGCAAAACGTTGTAAATAAGGCGAGAACGAACAAAACAAGGTAAGGGTTCTAATTAATGCCTGACAGAAATACATACCTTTATGTAAAGATTTAAACATATACCAGTCTTATTTTCTTTATTTCAGTTTTAGGATATTAAAAGTGCCATAAGCTTAATTGCAGATTAAACCTGCAGCGTGCATGTGACTGATTAGATTTAGCTGATATTGAGACAATCATGTTAGATCTCCTCCTCCAAATAGTTGCTCAGTCACACTTATCAGTGTTCAGGAGAGTGATCACTGGAAATTTAGCATCTTAAAATTGAGGATCATCATGCACCTTGTTATCAGTGCGGGCCCTTGGTTTCAGTTCATTATTTTAAAATGTGTGTGTGTGTGTGTGTGTGTGTTCCTCCCTCTCTTTTTTCCGCTCTCACTGCCAGATCCTGATTTTTTTTTTCTTTTCCTGGGGAGTGTGTGGTCCTATCTGTGTGAGCATGTTCCCGTCTTTGTGTGTGTTCCTCTCGCTCTCTCTCTCTGTATATTCGGCCCTCACCTCGAGGCGAGTCGATCCTCTTACAGTAATACCATTGCCTAATCTCAGAGGCGTATCAGAGGGAGCTCAGAGCGCTCTGCACTAATAGGTTCACACAAATGGGATCTAGTCAAAAACCTCCCAATCCTCCTGCCACTGTAAATATGGAGAGCATTATCTGCGTCCGCCTGGAGGCCTCTGATGTGGAACTGATGCAGATTTGACAGAGAGACTGAGAGATAGCGGCCAAAAAAAGATGATTTAACATGCTGTTGACGTAGTTACAGCGGTAATTTGATTGGTTGTAGAGATGAATTGAATCAAATTTCAACTTTTAAAAGTCTGGTGCAGCCTGGTCATTCATACAGGATTGTTCTCTCAACTTATTTGATACCTTTGAAGGCCAAAGCAAAGCCTTAATGTTGGAGTTGCTCTTTTTAAAAACTTTATTTAAAGTTTGGTTGGACAGATTGTTTCTTTGAAAATATATACCAGGCATACAGCTGTAATAGTGCTTTTAATGCACTTTATAGTCTGCATTTATCATATCGTGGTAATAAAAGAATATGCACATAATGCAGCATTACAGTCACGATTAACCTCATTCCACAGTGTGTTTACAGCAAAACATTTTCTGTATTCCTTGCTGTAAAATCAGTTACACATTTTGTTATGAATTTCACTTATTTTTCCCTTGAATAAATGTAGGTTTCAGGCCAGTCAGTTGACTGTACTGATGATACAAGCATAGCATATCTGCTGTCATAAATTTGTCAGTCTACTTCCCCTACAATTTTTAGTTTTGGTTTTGTTTTTTTAGTGACTGGCGCCTTCCTGAGGTGAGCTGTATTTATGACTCTGGAAATATTCAGTATGCATATTTTTTGACATTACAAGCTTTAATTTTAAGGTAATTATTTTAATTTTAATTTAAGTTTTCTAATCACAACATACTAAAGTTTTGCAGTCAATCATGTCTTACAGTGTACTGCAGCCGAAAACATCAGGCAGACACTTAAAACCCAAAGGAACACAGACAATTGCAGTTTTGCTTAAAAATTGCTGAAAATAAAAGTGTATACATTAAAACATTTTGGAATATGTGTCATAGATAAAAGATAAAGGAGGAAATCTTTTATAATGAACAGAAACAGAACCATTAAAAAAGTGTTTTTGTTTTTTTACCATAGACTGGAATGCAAAGGAGGCAAGAATCCTGTAACAACAACAACAACAACAACAACAACAATGGTAATAATATTAACAGGTAGATAAATAAAATGAGTAAAGTCAACTCTAGTTTGAAAGACATTAGCAGAATAAATAAATGAAGAAAACAATCAGAAAACGTCTATGCAGCAGTACAGCATTGAAGTTTTGTAAGTCTTATAAATAGTTTGTGTCCCCAGAAAACATCAGTTTTTATGTTTGTCACTATTGCAATTCTCATTTCAATTAAGATAAAAAAAAACAAAAAAAACAATAAACAACAAAAAATATATATATTTGAAGGTTGAACCTCTAATGGAGAAGTGATTGTGACTGGAAAATGTTGTGAAAGAATAATTTAATAACGTTATTGTCGTAGTTAAACATATACCAAACATGTCAAAGCTTGCAACGTTAAACTACTACTAAAAAATCTTTAAACCTCTCAATCACAAAAAGATGCAGTAATATATGTGAAAATATTAATAATGCTGGCTGTTCTCACTGGTGGCGCTGATTCTTCACTGAAGTGAGAATTATAATGAAAGCAAAGCTGAGAGAGACAAATGCAGTCATGCAGTGACATCAAGAGGGTGCAAACAGTACTGCTCTATTTAAACGCAGGGTGCTGCTTATTTCAGTGGTTGCACTCAGGTCAAAACACAAACATGCATTTATAAACCTTAAACACTGCTTTGTCAAAAGAAATATATGTACAAATCAATGAAATATGAACCAAATAATGTAAGATACCAAAAACGCATATCTCACTTATAACTAGAGATGGCACGATACCACTTTTTTATGTCCGATACCGATATCATAAATTTGGATATCTGCCGATACCGATATGAATCCGATATAGTGTTTTTTAATCAACAAAACTGTTTTTTTTTTTAATATCTTGCTGCATTTTGTATAAGTTCATACTCAAGTTTAAAACAACAACTACACTAAAGCTATTCTGTTATACCTGTATGCAAAAAAAAATATTTCATAGTTCAGCAATACTGATCAATCTAATAAACTTAAACCTACACCATCCTCCCTATTCTGGTATTTTAAAGAGTACTTAGCGTAAATATTAAGCAACCTAACTAATAGGGTTCCAACTCCCAGCAACAACAAAAATAAAAAAATAAAAAAATAGGGAACCACCCCTCACGCGCCACCTCATGATGCTTAATCGATGTAATCAACCTTAATTTGATGCAGTGTGAAAAAAAAGCACAGAAATCAATTATTTTTCAAGAAATATTAAATAGATTCAACATCTTTCTTCAACAAAATTGCAGACTGCACAGATGGTACCTTCCCAAAGGAAAAGGTACTACAGCTTACTAGGGTATATTAGACTTAATAGTTACTATATACAGTAATTGACTTCTATTCATTTTACATCAAATTAAAACTTTGGGTGTCAGATAATTATTTATTAAAAGCTAGACATTTGAAATGAGAATAAGAAAGAAAAGTATGTCTTTGTGCCCCCTTTTCCCTGTTAATGCCCTATCGGCCCCCCTGGCTAAACTTTGCTAGATCCGCCCCTGCACAGTTACCAGCGTCAGCTACGTAGAAAAGGATCCTGGAGTAGAAAGTAATATTAAATACATTCTAACAACAGCTGATCAAGCTTAAACGTGCTGCTGTTGTTCAGCCGCTGGTTTCCTCTTTCTGGTGCAAAGTGGGCCAAAAACAAACAAGAGAGACAGACTCGTGACAGAAAAGCCGATCAGCTGAGCATTAAGCAGTTTCATGATTGAAGTAGCAGCAAGAAGAGGCAGTCGCTCCATATATCGCTTGTTAAGCTTAACGCAGGAATGCTTTACAAACATTCAGAGATGGACTTACACACTTGCTTTACTTCTCTCGGGGATAACTTTGTCGGAGATGAAATGCCGGGTTGCTAGCGAAGCTCCAAATGCTATCCAGACCGCCACAGGTCCCGCATGCCACAGCCGCTCTATCACGTGATGCATACTGCTCCGACGTGCTAACGTTCTGAGGTGAGTTACGGCGTGTTGCAAGTTTTGTGAGGTGCTTTTGTGATATTTAATGGATCAGATTACATTTTTTATTTTTCTCCGATATCCGATCCAGTAATTTAGGTCAGTATCGGACCGATACCAATACGTAATATCGGATCGGTCCATCTCTACTTATAACTGCAGATATCGGTGACAGTGTCTTCCATGACGGCTATGACAAAGACCTTTATTTCTTCCAATAGTTAGAATTAGTTAGAATGCTATTTAAAATGAAAACTCAGTCATACATGTGATTGGTGATGGTGATGTACCCTACTGCTTGCCCTGTGACAGCCTTGCAGCTCTGAATGGACTGATGGATGAAATTCACATATTTAGGGAGTTTGTTATTCCTGTGTTTACATTTCAGTTTGACCAGAAATTTTCAGACCTCTTTCATTTTAGGGCACCATCATATTTGGAACTTAAATAAAGGAAATGCATATATAAAAGTGATTAGAAGTGTCATTTCAATTGAGTCCAACCAAGATGTATACAAATGCCCTTTCCCTTTCTTACAGTAAACTTTAATCAGTGTAAAATTTTTAATTAGAGACGGAGAGCTGTGGAGCAGGGGGGCTAGCACTAGAAAATCACGTTTCTATGTTATCATATTTTACAGTTTACATCCAATTTATAAACTTCAAGATGACATAAGTGAGTGTGTTTAACAAAAACTTAATTAGTCCAAAATAAGAAACTAATCTTTACAATCTCATCTAATGACTGCTGTCTTCTTGAGCTCAACTACAGATAATCCATAACCAACAAAAAATCCTGCATAGAGCGGCTGAGTGAATGTTGCCTGCACTCTGTGGAGGAGAGTCATGTCGTCAGAAACACTGTAGAAGGACAGAGTACCTGCACTGTGGTCCAGATACACTCCAATAGTGGAGGACTGACATGTGGAGATGTGAGTCCTGATGTTGTCATGTCTAAATTCAAATTTATCTCCTATACTATATAGCGCCCAAGATGTGTTATCATTCCCAAATCCATAAACTGGTAGTCTGTTTGTGTTTGTGACTGCTACTGCAACAGTCCCAGACCACGTCACCTCCCAGTAACACCGGCCAGTCAAACTCTCTTTACTTAGGACACAAAAATGAGACATTTTTCTTCTTTCTGGAGAGCCTAATTGTGCTAACATGACCACTTTCATACAAACATTTTGTGTTTGTGTAGTACTTGCTTTTTTCTTGCTAGCAGATATTAAAATCTTGCTTTCTGTGTTTGGAACCAGTGTGATATGTTGTGAATATTTTAAGAATTCCTCTCTAGTTGTGTGTTCTCTTTGTGACTGATCACACTCACTCACTGTTGCTGATAGCTTGGTCCATTGTCCTTTGAGTATGTCCTGCATCTTTTCCCTGATTTTTGACAGAGAAGCTGTCACATCATCAAAGTTACACAGAGGGTGAATACTGATGCTGGGTGGCTTCTCACTGAAAGTCAAGCTTGGCTGTGAGGGATACTTTTGTAGAAAGGTGATGTAATCCTGCATGTGACAGAGTTGTTCCAACTCAGATTTCTTCTGTTGCAGATCAACAGTCTCCTGCTTCAACTTCTCTTGAATCTCTGTAAGTCGACTCACCTCCTTTTTTTGCTTAGATCTGATCTGCTGCTTTACATCAGACCTTATTTTTTCTAGGAGGCAGATAAGCTCTGTGAAGATCATCTCACTGTCCCTTACAGCTTTATCTGCAGATTGACTTATGGCCTTCATTTTCTGCTGAAGAACCCGCATGTGTTTATCTTGGTCCTTAATTCTCCGCTGGATTTTCTCCTGACACACCTCGAGCTCTCTCTGCTTCTCACTCATTTCTTTTGCAGCTGAAACTGTGTCGTGTCCTCTATGTTCATCCATGGAGCACAGATAACAGATACACTGCTGATCAGTGCGGCAGAAAATCTTCATAGCTTCATTGTGATGAGAGCAGATATTGTCCTGAAGCTTCTGGGAGGGGTCCACCAGCTTGTGTTTCCTAAAGGCGGGGGATTCATAGTGAGGCTGGAGGTGCTGCTCACAGTAAGAGACCAGACACTGCAGACAGGACTTGACAGCTTTCAGCTTTCTCTCAGTGCAGACATCACAGCTCACATCTTCAGGTCCAGCATAGCGGTGAGTAGCAGGAGCAGTTTGTCCAGTCTTCTTCAGGTCCTCCACTAATTCTGCCAACATGGTGTTTTTCCCCAGAGCAGTCCTCGGTGCAAATGTCTGTCTGCACTGAGGACAGCTGTGGATGTTCTTCCGATCCTCTTCATCCCAGTGGATTTGAATACAGTTCATACAGTAGTTGTGTCCACAGGGAATAGTTACCGGATCCTTCAGGAGATCCAAACAGATCGAACAGCAGAGTTTGTCCTGGTTTATCTGGGCTCCTCGCTGCGTCATTTCACCTCTGAGAATGTGATTGTGAAATAGTTTCACTTTCGTCTTACCAGAAAAATAGGGCTGAGCTGCAGTTATTTCATTTCAGCTTCTAACACGCACTGACTGGCATGTCAGAGCACAGCATGCCGGTTACACTCATCTGTAAACTTGCAGATCTGTGAACAGGGCAGGAACAGAAAACACCTGAAATGAATGGGACTGACTTTTCTATATAACAGGAATGAGGGGGGAGGGGCTAATTCCTTCCTCATCAAACAAAGATCAAAGTTTGTCAAGAGTGTGTGTTTGAGAGTAAGAGCACAATAAGCTTAGCAACTTAGCTTCTCTGTGACTAAACTGCACCAATTTCATTGTATTATGAGTTAAAGAGGATTAAAGATTAGTCTTATGACTGAACAGATGCCACTTCCAAACTTATAGAACTAGCAGTTATTGTGTGGGTGAGGCACAATTCATTATTTTCACTTAAAATCAGCTATCTGCGATTTTGTTCACCAACACAATTGATTCATTCATTTATGCATCCATTCATTTTCAAAATATTAACATTTTACTTCATCTTTTAAATGTTATATCTTCTTCAAAGTGGCCTTTAAAAGTATAAGTTATATTAGATGTAGTTTTGATTTGTTTATAGAAGACTGGTTTTGAACTTTCTATTCACAGCAAAGATGTCAAGACTGTTGTCTCTTTCTCTGATTTTAGTGATCTCCTGAATTCATGAATTTTGTCATTTAACATCAATCTCAGGACCATTATAAGGCTTTTAACATTTCACCTTCAAATGTCAGATAAAAGGTCATAGTTCATGCTGAGTCAGGTGCATCATAACACTCATAACTCATACAGTAAATCCAAACTCTAGTAAACAATGAGATTTGAGGAATTCAATGAATCAAATTTACTGATGGACTTTACAGCCTCTACCTGAATGACACAACCTTCCATACATGTAAGTCAGTCTTCACTATCTAAAGTCTGAAAGCAAACACTGAGCTAGAACTAGATGGCTCTGCAGTCCCATTGTCAATCACGTCCTTTATTTCAGCATTAAGATACTTTCTTCTCTCTAGATGAACCTGATAAAACATCTAATTGTCGAGGAATCCTCCACGTCTGTGTCATGTTGGATGTTTATTCATTTAATGTACATATTTAATGCCTTTAACTACTTAAATCAGCTTCAAAGTTAATCAGGCCTTACCGATGCACATTTGCTCTCCTGCTGTTTTTAATTCACAGTTTTTACCCTTTCGAAACACTTTAATGAACATCAACAGGAACACAAACAGAAAAAAAAGATTATATGCATTCAAATAGTACAAATTTTATTTATGTTAAAGAAAACCAAATCCCTAGTCAGGTTTCCCACAGCAACAATAACTGTGCACTGTATATTATTTACATCAGCAGTATTTTCACAAACAAATAACTTTAAAACCTAAAGTTACATTAAATTGAGCAAACCTAATTTACTCAATCTTAATGTTTTAGTACAGGTGTACCCCATGTTTTTGCAAAATGAGAACCCAATGTGGAAGAAAAGGCTGAAAAGAACAAAAAGAATAAGTATTTCCAGCACTCAGATGATGTGAATTACTAAGAAGATAAAAAGGCCCAAAAGTTATAGGCTAACAAGGAAAAGCACCAGTGCAAATCAATCAATAAGAGCCAGGCAGACAATAATAATAGAGGGAAATTGTCCCCGAGTAGACAAATCAGAAATCCACAGGCAAGGTTTATGAAATATGAAGTAATTAGAACGGAGGAAAGAAACACAAATCAGCAAAGCAAAAGCAAAAGCAGAAAAAGAAGCACTGGAGAGAAGGGTAAGCATGAACACAAACAAATATTAGTTTACAAATGAGGAAACAAAACCCTGATTCACAGATATTAAGTAAACTCCAACACCCTAACAGATACAGTACCAATCATTGGTTTGGTCAAGTTTAATTATAATAATAATACATAAAACAAGCTTCTGCAAATTTGTTCTAAACAAGTAAATTTCCTAACAGAACATCAGTGGTGGTAGAGAGATAGTTTAAAGGGAAATTTCTAATCATCTTGATCACTCATAAAGGTTCATTTGTGGTTTAATTTTCCTCTTAGTGGACTTTTGATTTATCCCAAACGTAACATATTTGGTAGTAGGGATACTTTTCTGCACAGTATGGCATAAAAAGCTCCACATGTTGTTCGTTAGTAATGGGGTCATTTTTATACTCCTGGTATAAAACATGGAAAATAACTGAAAAAGAAAATTAAATAGTGTTCCCCACTATGACTGTATTCAACCTTTGACTGGTTCTGCAGCTATATATGTGGACAATAGCTGTGATAAATTATGTCAACACTAAGACATGTTCAAATAACATTTGAATGGCAACCAGCTGCTGACAGTATTATGGTGTAAAGCTTTTATTCTATCCTGGTAAAATCTACAAGAAACGACTGATTACAGTAGGTACATCGTAAAATAACACTACACAGAGTGACACAGTTACTCTTTCTCCTGCCCATCTATTTGAGTTCACACAATTTCAGAGAATTACCACAACCATAAACACTGAGTCCAGCATAGAGCGGCTGACTGAATGTGGTCTGGACTCTGTGGAGGAGAGTCATGGTGTTAGAGATCCAGTAGAAAGACAGAACACCTGCACTGTGATCCAGGTACACTCCAATTCTAGCAGACCGAGGACCCGAGATGGTGTTGCTCATGCTGTTGTGAATAAATTCAACTGAATTTTCTAAAGCCCAAGATCTGTCATTGCATCCAAATTCACTTTCATCTCCTTTTCTGCTAATGTCCTTGTATGTGACTGCAACTGTAGCACTAGCTGGTCCCATCTCCACCTCCCAGTAGCAACGTCCAGTCAGGCTCTCTCTGCTCAGAACCTGCTGTCTTTGAGTGAATCTGTCTGGATGATCAGGATACAGCTGTTTTTTTATCGTCAATCTAGCTACTCTGTTGCCTTCAGATAATATCAGCTGTGGGTGTGCAGTGTTTAGATCCAGTGTGATTTGACGTGAATACTGCAAGAAGTCAGCTCTGGTCTTGGGTTCTGGCTCCGGTAGGAGTAAAAACTCCGCACTGGTCACTTTAAGTGAGATCTTGGTCCACTCAAGTTTAATAGTATTCTCGAGTTTCTTTCTGACCTCTGATACAGCTGCTGTTACTTCATCAAAGTAACACGGTGAGTGAATATTGATACTGGGCGAGTTTGTGGATTCACTTAGAGACGACAGAAGAGGGTAACTGTGTAGGAAGTGGATGTGATCTTGTGTGCATGACAGCTGTTCCAGCTCTGTCCCTTTCCTCTTCAGTTCAGCGAGCTCCTGCTGCAGCTTCTCCTGTAGCTCCCCGACTCTGTTCAACTCATTTTTCTGCTTAGATCTGATCTGCTGCTTCAGATTGGAGCTTCTTTTTTTGATGAGTGAAACAAGATCCTCGAAGACCTTCTCATTGTCTCTCACAGCTTTATCAGCAGACTGATTGATCGCCTCCACCTCCTGCTGAAGCACCTTCACGTCTTTCTCCTTTTCTTTAATTCTCTGCTGGATGTTTTGCTGACTCACCTCGAGCTCTCTCTGTTTCTCTTTCCTTTCTGTTGAAGCTGGGACTGTGTCGTGGCCTTTATGTTCAACCTTGGAGCACAGACAACAGATACACTGCTGATCAGTGCGGCAGAAAATCTTCATAGCTTCACTGTGATGAGAGCAGACATGGTCATCAAGCTTCTGGGAGGGGTCCACCAGCTTGTGTTTTTCAAAGGCAGGGGATTCATAGTGAGGCTGGAGGTGCTGCTCACAGTAAGAGACCCGACACTGCACACAGGACTTGACAGCTTTCAGCTTTGTGTCAGTGCAGAAATCACAGCTCACATCTTCAAGTTCAGAATAAGCGCTGACTGAAGTCTTCTTTAGGTCCTCCACTGACTCTCCCAACATGGTGTTTTTCCCTAGAGCAGATCTCGGTGCAAAGGTCTGTCTCCACTGAGGACAGCTGTGGGTTTCCTTCTGATCCTCTTTATCCCAGTGGATTTGAATACAGTTCATACAGTAGCTGTGTCCACAGGGAATAGTCACCGGATCCTTCGGGAGATCCAAACAGATCGAACAGCAGAGTTTGTCCTGTTTCACTGGGTTCCTCCCTGCGCCATTTCACCGGTCAGAGACTATGATTGTGAAATAGTTTCACTTTTGTCATACAAAGAAACAAAACTGACTCTCATTCCTTCTGTTCACATGCACTGAATGGGGTTTACGTGCACACCATGCTGGTCACACCCATCTGTAAACTTGTAGATCTAAGTATAGGAACAGGAAACATGTGGACCGAGTGGGAGTGTTTGTTTGGAAAGCAGGAAGCTTATTTCTCTGTGTTACAAAGATCAGTGTCCGTCTGAACTGAAACATCTGATCTGAGTGAAAGTGTGTGAAAGAAACAGATTAAAGACTCATGGACCATAACTTATTGCTTATTCAAGATTAACCTTCAACCTTGTTATTATTCGCACTTAAAAGCGATCATGCATGAATCTCTTCTTATTTCTCAAATCGGTTCATGTATTTTATCCAAAAATCTTTGTACAATATTCCAAAATAACAAAGCTAAAGGATTTTTAATTAAGCTCTACGTTAAAATGTTTTAAAGCAGGAATAAAAAGTGACTTTCCCGTTTACTTGTGTAAAATTTTAAAGACAAATATATGAATACAAATGTAAATAACCACCAAAAGATTTCATGAAGGTGAAACTGAGGACATTTCCCTCCTTAAATAATATCCTTTTCAAAAAATGATTGCATTGAATAAAAGCATGTAACTATAGAGGTAATGAGTAATGGTAAGTATGTAAGTGTATGTATGGATGCTTGTAAAGGTTTGTGCAATATGTTGTAAAAAGAGGCATGTAACAAAAACATGTTGGCAACCGCCTCCCAGAGAGAGTGTGTGTGACAGATGATATACTCCCGTCACTCCCACCTTACAGGTGCAGCTGGATACTTTAACAATCTAACCCAAAACACAAAGGTGACAATAGCAGTGCTACAAGGCCATCACACTCCCACCAATAAAAATATGGCTTAGCTAGCCATCTACAAAGCTGGTTTAAACTTTTGAACTTCCTTCATCTCAGCCCCATTTCTTCCTATAGAGGCATATGGAAGCAGAAAGAAGTTAACATTTTACCAAAAAATTGAAAAGAATAGTACCGAGACACAGCCCTCGATAGTGCATCAGCCAAAACATTGTGTGCACCTTTATATATTGAACATCGAGATCATATGACTGAAGAAGGAGGCACCATCTCATAAAACGTTGGTTGGGATTCTGAAGAGAGGGAGGGAATGTGAGGGGAGTGTGACCTGTGTAAACTACAACCTGCACCTACAGCTTGATGCATGCTCAATCACCCCAGTAAGAAAATCCCAAAAAGTTGATTCTGTTCATCTGGACATAGCTTTGTCAGTGGCAGAAGTGCACCTACATACACTTCAAAATGTTGTAGAGTCCACATTAAAGGCGATGCTCAGACTGGACAGACCTGCCCTTGCAAAAGAGAGAGAATACAATAACCTCAGTTTTATCTGAATTTAGCAGCAAGAATATACAGGTCATCAAGATCTTTATGACATTCCTGCAGTTTGACTAAGCTGGGGATCCTTGTTTAGCAGTGAAAATGTATATTATCCCTTCAAATGATACTGCCTAAGGAAAGCATGTATGATGTAAACAGAACCTGTTCTGGCACTAAATCCTGTGGAACTGCATATTTAACAGTGTGTGAAGAAGACGCTGTTAAGCACACACGCAGGCTGTATCCCAATTCAGGGTCTGCAGCCTTAAAGTACGCAGCCTTAACGGTCCACAAGGGCCGCGTACTCAAAGACCGCTAAGGCCGGAAGTGCGAGGCTTGTGAAATGGGACGGTCTAGCCTCCGTCGCGCTGCCCAGGTTGCCGAGCAACCATGATACTAACAGCTGGAAACGTTTCATACAGCTTTGTTTGACAGAAATGAAGGAGAACATAATTTGTTCATTTGTTTGTTTGTTTCTACATGAGCTTTGATCATTCTCTAAGATTAAGCTCAGCTAATGAACGGCGTATATTTAAAGTAAAGGCTTTAAAACCAAGTTAGTACAAACGTCACTAATGTCACATAACTTTGCCGACATGTGGCCAACAGTAATGTTTTAATGTTCTGCGTTATTAAACATTTGCACATAAATAAGTGACATAATATTCAGTACATACTTAAAGTTTTCTCTTCGGGAGCCCCTCATCCGCAGTTTTTTTTCGGCAAAATTATCCACACCCACCGCCGCGCTATGCATTCTGGGATATGTTGGGCCACGATGAAGTCTACACCGCCACGTCCTTAAAATTCAGGGAAAAGGAGGACGCATTTGAGGGCCGCATTTCGAGCAGCCTTCGAATTGGGACAGCCAAGTCATGGTTTAATTACGGCCTTTTAAAGGCCTGTGGCACGTTGCCCATTAACAGAGAGATTATTGCTTCTCAAACATGACTAATTAGTGGTAGGATTTCTTTGAGCACTTTTGAAGGAATGGGTTCTAACAGACGTGTTGACTGTCTGCGGGAAGTAATGGTTGAATTTCACTCAGAAAGCTCTGTCAGAGAGACACTAAATAAATAGCAGTGGTATTGAAGTTTGCTGTATGTAATGATAGATTTGTGAGATGATTATTATTTGATTTGTGAATAAATTCATTAAGTCATTACTAGTTAAGGTTAAAGGAAGACTCAGCTCAACAGAGCTCGGACTAAGAAGATTGCTTATACATTATCTCTCTTGTAAGAAAGCACTTCTGCCAGGAAGACACCTTCATTAGAACAAAGTTGAAGTACTGGCAGGAATCTGTTTTTGACCAGTTTGGGAGGGTGAGAGACTGCAGAAAAGAGGAGCATAGAGAAAACAAGAGGTAGGCAATACTCAAATTAAAATTTAAATAAAGACACATTTCAGATTGCTAAGTGTGCCCTTGGCTTTTATTAACAACCACATGATAAAACACCATCATACATCAAAGACCATACTGCTGCTTTTACCTAACAGCAGTCCTGATCGACTGTTCCATTCATTCAGGAATAAAAAGACATCATCTGTGGACAGTAACACTAGCATGAAAAAGATACAGTAACAGTCAGAACAGGAACTATCATCAGTCTTGGCTCCTCAATATTCTAAACCTGATTAGAGGACTGGAAAAAAAACCTTTTCTTTGGGTTGATTGTAAACAAAATGAAACAAACATACACATACACACACACACATACCCACTCACACTAAGATAATTCTCCTGTTTGAACCTAAAGAACATGTAAGTTAACTTGGAATAATTTGTAAAAACAGAAAGCAACGTACAAACTAGTAAAAGTTAATCAAATGAAGATAAACCGACCAACCCTTGCTCTATTTCTGAAGTAAGCTCTGAAGATTGTTGGAGGAGGAAAGTGTGGTTTGTTTTTTTTTATGTAAGGCACTGAACAAAACAAGGATCCAACTTGGAAAGAGGTATTTAAAAGATTTCAAGCATGAACTACCTTAATTTAGTGATTACTCTTAAGTATACCTGGTTTGATGCTGCAGAGGAGAAAAGATCACCATTCACATCTCACTGTTAAATTAAGACACACTTTATAACATCTGACCACCCTGCATTGCCTAGCATAGTAACGTCCCACTATTATGTAGAATAAAATATTAAAAAGATGATATCTTGACTTGTTTAACTTTAGCCCACTAGCTTAATGTGAAGGGAAATCTTTGGAGGTCAACGGATGGAAATCAAACTAACCGATGCTTTAGCCTGACTTAATGCAGTACAGATTAAATATTATTCTTATACTTTTAACGAAAACACTAATATGTCAAGTGTGCTGTAGACACAAGGCTAAAACTCAAAATCAAAATTATTATATTAGTGTTACAGTACAGAAAGACTTAGCAGGGATAAACTGACTAAAAATAAAACTCTTTTAAAATCCTGAGTTAAATAACATTGTCAGTCACACAGATGCTGCGTGACCTCAGACCTCATAATGACGGTCGTTTTCGGTGAGCTTTTTTCGCTTTAGTATTTCAACAAAGTTTGTGCATAGAGGTGCATCTGGAGGCGGGGAGTCTAGGTCACAGACAGGAGCGAAAAACTATTTAGAAGAGTTTCATTTAAGAAACTTCAGGAGAGCTCATTTCCTTTTATTCCCTTCTGGCATGCTCAGAATACCTTATAGGGAAAATGTTCTTAAACTGCAATAGAATAACTAAGTGCTCTTTGCACTCCCAAATATTTACAGCTCCCCCTACTGCAGTTTTGCTCCGTCTCAGACTCAGACCCGCCCCTTCAGATGTTTTCGGCCTCTCTCCGGGGAATCTCCCTGATGCTCTCTTGAGGTCCACCATGTGCCCGTGGGCGCCGTCGAAAGCTCTGCCCAGATGCAATAAGGTCAGCGTAGCCTTGGGCGTGAGAGAAGGCGTATGCAGATCGCCGGGAACGCCGGCCTCGCTGGAAGGGCGCTGGCTTTTTCTTATCGTCGTCTTCCTTCAGCTCCATCTCGTATTTCTTTCTGTTTCTCTGGACCTAAAGGATGATTGGAAATAAGCCGGTAATATATGAAGCAGAAGGGTCCATGGAAATACAGTAGAAAGTTATAATGGAAAGAAGAAATCAATTTTACTTCAAAAGATGGTCAGAATACAGCCTTAAAAGCAACTTGTAATTACAAAAGAGCGCTTGCATATTCTGCAATACAGCCGGCACCCTAATGATGCTGTGTAATTGTAATGTAAGAATGGTGGGTTAGGATAATCTATACTACAGTCCTGCCATCAATGTTAGGAAATAAAGTTGTGGCCAGAATTAGTAAGTGATAATCATACATTTAAAGCAATGCATGAAAGAAACAAAACAAAAAAAACCCCCATAAAGCTATGTTGTTTTATGTTTATTAATATATTTATGTATGTCAAGCATCTTATTGCCCATCACCCAGGACGCCCCCACCTTCCCTGAGAGGGTTCAGGCCGATGGGTCAGAAAATGACCAGCAGGCTTGTTGCTGCACTGGCAGAGGTCTCACCTTGTCTCCTACAGAGGGCCAGATGGTTTTAGAGAGAAACTGGATGCAGATGACAGGCAGAAGGCTGATGCCCACAGTAAGGATGATTGTTAACCACAGGTACGGCTGACGTAAAGCATTTGATGCTACCCCTACAAACACAACATATAAATACACACACACACGTTAACAGAGAAATGAAGAATGAGGGGCTTATGTGGGGACCTTCAATACTTGGACATGGTTCTCATTGGGTAAAATTATTAGTAGAAGGCTATTGCATTCATGCTAATGAAAATAAAAAGCCTTTTGTCAAAGCCTGACTTACTGACAACTTGTAGAGGATTTAGCAGTTAAAGAGACTTAACTTTTCTTGACAAACAGCTGTAAGGTGTGTCTACACTGAAAGCTACAAATGAATGATGAAGTTGCCTTAATGCAATTATTGTTTAATATATCAACAAGTAATTTGTCAGTGATATTGCAGCTTCAGCTGGCCAGAGATCCTCTAGGAGCGATTTAATCTGAAGCAGGCTTTAAATTGGAGGCCAACAAACACAGGAATTTTAGAATACGTCATCAACCCTTATTGGCTTTTTGAATAACAGTCAGACAAACCGCTCAACTAACCTGTGAAGGTGAAAACTGAGGGGAAGATGACATGGATCCCAGCACTGTGGATGTCAAACATGACCCCAAAGTAGATGGCTATGCTGCCCAGAACTGCAAAGCAGTTGACAAAAGTCCAGTAGGAGGTATCCAAGGAGATCTGACAAGACAGGAAGGAGAAAAGACAGACAGGATATTTTACATAAAAGCCATTACAAATATCAATATTCTTGAGTAGCTCCATATTTTGACAACATCAATACTTCAAATAAGTCACAAAATCCGAATTATAATTCCTAAAAGCAAAAACTGAAAATTTATGCACTGCACATGCTCAGAAATGTGTAACCAACCTGCAGATTCACGATAAAAATCAAGGACGAGGCAGCAACGACAGCAAAGGACTGATAGTCTGAGGGGGCTTCTCCGTCTTGCCCCATGGTTTGCAGGAAGGCTCCATAAGGTATGAAGAAGATGATGAGTGAGACGAAGATGCCGTGGAACAAGCTGATGAAAAAGTTTTTGTAGTTAAACAACGTCCCCTGCTGACCGGGAATGTAGAGTTTGGGGAATTTTAAACTCAGTCTGTCGTTGACATCCTACAACAGAGAAAGAAAGAGAAGGTTTCAAGAAATTTTAAGATTAAGAAAAAAATATCTACTGAAGAATGACTCAACTAAACTTTAACTCTGTCTTTGTGCCATGAAATTATGAGAAAATTATGAAGCAAAAAAAAAAAAGCTATTCATAATTAGTTTTTACATTCATGCAGGATACAATAGCCCTCTTTTCTTTGGTCTACAACAAATTCAGCTTTTACCTGGTCAAGAAGTCCAACAAGTAGAACAGGCAAGCTGCTGTAAGCCAGATTGTAGAGTGTGATAAACCAGTCTTCAAAGGTGATCTGCGGGAAGGAAAAAACAATCATTTATCGTCTCTGTTGCTGTTCAGTATTATCTGTCACTGAGTGTGTACTTTAGAAGTAAAGCACCACAAATCTGCACTTCTCACTGCACAACCTAATCCAAAGCAATCATGCTATTTAGTGGGCTGAGGAATTGAAGATGTAGGAGAGACATCTGCAGTATCATAATCTTGTTCTTGCCTCTTGTGCGACTGGAGCATTCAGATGTATGCACCGTTAAAAGTATTCTTTTAGGTGTTGCTCAGTAAAAACCTTTGAAGGTTAACATTACGACCCCTTAGGCAAAAGGACCAAGGTACAAATTTAGACATTAAACCGAGAAGTTGATGTTGACTAATGGAAATTAGGTTGTGTGTGTGAAAGGCGTTTTCTGTGGATGTCTTCCAGCAGGAGAACATTTACTCTTTGCCATGTTTGAACATGGATTAAAAATTCTACAGAAATGAGCTTCAGTGTTTTGTGTGGGAGCTACTCACTACGTTTGCAATTTCCACAGGGTTAAAGTACATGTTATAATGGGCAAACTCCATGAAAAGTTAGTCTAATGATGGCTATGATACTACAAACATTCCCTTCTTTTCAGAATAAAATCAAAAGGGATGACTTTCACAGTGCTGCTGACCTGTGAGGAGTATCCGTTGAAAAAGGAGTACCAGAAGTGGACCAGAGTGAAGGCAAAGTTCTTGAAGAAGAAGAAACGCAGGAACTTGCACATTCGGATGTAAGACCAACGCCCGTGCACCAGCAGGAGGCGCTGCAGGTAACGGAACTGAGCAAAGGCGTAGTCGCTGGACATGACGGCCTGCATCCCCTCCTGACCGCTGATACCGACACCGATGTCTGCAGCTGGAGGGAGAGCGGACGGGGCGAAATCTTAGAGCAGATTGGTAGAATCTTACACACTTGGCGTGAGCACAGTTAGCTTGTGTCCTTACTTTTGATCATATTGACGTCGTTGGCTCCGTCTCCGATGGACAGTGTCACAGCCTTCTTGTACTTCTTCACCAAACTCACCACATTAGCCTTTTGTTTCGGTGTTACACGGCAGCAGATGACCGCCTCGCATTCACAAGCCATATCCACAAAGTCAATCTACCAGTAGAGAGAAACATTTCACTGGATTTAATATCATGAAGACAAAAATTCTTCTTACTCACAATAATCAAAGCTATTTGTTAAACCTGTCTCATCTCTTTCTCCCAATCATCCATCGGCTGTCCGTCCTGAGGGTTGCTTGGAGGTTGACGCCTCTTTAGACGCAGACGACGCAGACGACGGCGTTTCTTCTTCTTTTCATACAGAATTTCATTCTGAAAAGAATAAAGAGAGTAGATTAGTATGTAAACCATGCAGGGAAACCGTATTAAAGGCAATATATTACATTTATCTTTAGACTATAACATTGGCTAGGCTTTTTAGTACTACCAATTCATCTTTTATAGTAGCTTTAATTTAGTTTTGGTTTTTGAAGAAAGCTCACCAGCCATCCTCCAGTGATGATGAGAGCATTTTTGTTTGATCCGGGAAAGAAAGGCTCAGCCGTTTTCTTTTTGCCTCGACGGTAAGCTTGAGGGTCATCCCTTCTGCTGGCCTGACGTCTGGTTAGCTTCTCACTGTAGACACACAATACAGGTGATAACAGTGCTCAATTGCAACACAGTTGGGACCATAAATAGTATAAAAGATGGTTGGAACACTTTAAATATGAATGGAAACAGAATGCAATGGTTTCATTTCACTGTTTTCTGATGTTTTGATGGCGATGTGTCCCATCATCAAGTTATTTTCTTTTTAACATGTAACTTGATGATGGAACACATCATCATCAAGTTACATGTTAAAAAGAAAATTTTACATCTGTGATGGGGACCGGGTAGTGGTCCCCATCTTTAAGAAGGGGGACCGGAGGGTGTGTTCCAACTACAGGGGGATCACACTCCTCAGCCTCCCTGGGAAAGTCTATGCCAGGGTGCTGGAAAGGAGAGTTCGTCCGCTAGTCGAACCTCACCTCACCTATGGCCACGAGCTGTGGGTAGTGACCGAAAGAACGAGATCGCGGATACAAGCGGCAGAAATGAGCTTCCTCCGAAGGGTGGCTGGC